AAGCAAGGACTAGTCATCAGTACAGGGGACAGGTAGAAGTAAAGCACTGACTCATGTACCTGGATGTCCTGTTTCTATTTGCAAGTGCTGGCCATGTGGTAAATGTGATCTTTGGAAAACGACTGCTGAGGCAAATTGAGAATTTTGCCATGGGTGGTGTCTTGATAACACTGAGCTGCTACTTAGCACGTTGCATTGTGGAGGAGCTTTTTGACACAGTTAATTGCCACAACATATATAAGACAGACAAAAACATTATTTGCCCCATTTTACAGATGGGAAAATTGAGGCACGGGATTACTATGTGACTTCATCAAGGTTACAGCCTGCTCGTTAATCCAGAGCCAGGAGTATGGGTCTATCAGGCCTCTGAGACTCGCTTGTCAGTGTATACGAATCATGGCTGCTCTGTGTCTGGTCTGCAGAGGATGTGAATCTGCAACAGCTTTTACCTTTTAGCCTTTAGCCCAAGTCATGCTTTTAGACCAGGAGGTCCCAGGTTTAGTCCCAGGTTCGGAACACGATACCAGTCATTACTACTCATGAAGTGTAAGGGCCAGAAGCACAGACAAGCATGCAAGAGATGCATGTAGATGTAGTGCAGCCGTATATGTTAATGTACTGCTAATTATTCATTTTAGATCCGATCGTGCCAGACTGCCCTACAGGTATCCCTGCAACAAGCCCTCCAGGAGATATTCCACCTACGACGGGGGGGAGATGACAACTTTTGTGCTGGCAAACAAGACGGCATCCATGCCAACCCCCAAAATAATACAAAATTCTACATGTGTACTGGGGGCCGGACTTACCATTTTACCTGTCCAGCAGGCCTTGTCTATGATGACAGCTGCAAGTGCTGTAACTATCCAAAATATTAGCCCCGTCCCTTGCTCAGGACAAACACCGATGAGTAATATATCGTAACTCGAATCATCCCCGCTGGCAGCGTCCCTTGTGGCTCATCAAAGAAAACCCATTTGTTGGAATAAGGCATTAATTTGTGTGTTGCCTGCTGTGTGATTGGTGACCCTGCTTTGAACATAATAAATAAAATTCTTTGTGTTCTAGAGTGTCTTCTCTGCCAATGCTTCACAAAACTGCTGTAGCAAGATGAAGGCCTACAACATAAGCCCATGCAGCACAGGCCTGGTCTGAGGCCTGAAGCCTAGCTAACAATGGATAAAACATGACTAACATAAAGCAAAGCTAAGCTGTGAACGAGAGGCAGACCCCAGCTCACAGAACATGGCATGAACAGGGCTGAGAGTGCAAAACACTAATTGGTAATAGGCCCAGATGCAGAACAATAATTGGTAATGGTCTTAAGTTGAAATCACATGATACCACCAGCTCATTAAAAAAGACCATGGTAGCCACTCCTCACAGATACAGGAAAGGGTCTAAAATGATGGCATGATGGATAGAGATGATCTAATCAAATCACGAAGGACGGGGTGATGGGTGGTATCTAAGTAGCATCAGAGAGTGGCAACCTGATACGTCAGCAGTGAGGTGTGATGTGTTTATACTTGTATATAAGGTGGTGTCCTGGGGGGACAGTCTTTCTATGACTGGGGGCAGTGGAAATTTCCCACTGATTGAGTTATTCCATTGTGGCAAGTACATGTGCGTAGTGGTTCAGTTACTGTACTTTGCTTTACAGTAAACCTGGCCTGGCATCTTTGATCCTTATCTGGTTTGTGGTCTTTGGGGGCTCCCTTGGGGTCTGCTGTGGAGACTAAGTGCACAAGATGACATGGCACACATCACTGTTCAAGCACACACGCAAGCAGCCTTCTGGTTATCATCATTGACAGAGCCAGAGACCTTTGAGGACACCACGGCAGTAAATCCTCCTCACTACAACTGCCTAGGTTAGGTATTCGACACAGGCTGAGTCTGGCTTAGTGAGACATCTCCGCAGGGCATATGCTCCCATCAGCTTCCCACAGTGCAGACTAGGGCTACTCAACATGTGGCCCGTGGGCTGCATGTGGCCCACAGCCTGTTTGTCTGCGGCCATGGTGCAGTTTGGGTTTATGTGGGGCTTAACACACAGCCTGCAGGTGGGAGCCAAAACAAAAAAGTCATCAATATAATGGTCTTCTGTTGATATGTTTTAGTAGTTAGATTCCTGGACTGTCATTGCTCATTGAAAGTGCTGTCCTGAGGGTGGAAATTGGAGAAATATTGCCTTTTATTAATATTAGCAGAACTGACTTAAATGGGGCCTGCGTGTTGTGTTGTTTTGCCCTAATTTTTACATTCATTCCTGTCAGTGTGAAAGAATCCATTTGCATATATTTCCATATATATTTGCATACATATCCAACCAACTTAAGTTGCGGCCCTCGTCATGTGCTGTGAGTATCATTGTGGCCCCTGGAACCTCCAAAGTTGAGGAGCCCTGGTGTAGACTCCACAGAGCTCTATGGTGTGCCTTAATCCTGCCTGTTCTAGTGCAGAACAGGCCTAAACTGGGATTTACTTTCCTCTCCTGCTGGTGAAGGCTACACAAGACATCTTCATGCAGTGGTCTGCCCTGCTTGGAGATATGTGGGAAATGAATAGCTGTGATTGTTAATCAGCACAACCTTGCCCCCACTGGCACAGCGGACAACAATCTGAAGCTCCTAATGTCTCTAAAATTATCTCAGGCTGCCCTTTCAGAAGACTTCAAGATAATGAAGGTTCCTGTGGCCTTATATCGGAATAGCATATGTCGGGAAGACGAATCATTGTAGCTAATGCTATTGAATTAAAGTGGGTAGCTGGAAGTCTACATTTACCTTTCATTCCAAGATGAGCTACCTCACAGACAGCAAAAGCACAGCATGGTCCTAATTCTCCTCTTTCTGACATTGGTGTAAATCCAAGAGCAGCTTCAGTAGGTAAAATATTAATACTAAGATTAAGGGAGTGACACAGTGGTAAAATCAGTGTAAAGAAGCAAATAAACTGGCCCTTTCTGAAGGGAGGTACTTCAGAAAGAAGGTGATAAACTCTATTCTATTCTATTCAGTTTTGATGCTGTGTCCATATGCCCCAGACTCTAGTTTAGGGTATTTTTAGTTCACACAAAGGGCCCTAACAGTAAGTCATCTTAACAACTGCTGTGTCGGTTTTTCAAACCATTTCCTGGAACATAGTCGCCAGGAGATGTCCCTGCCTTTGCAGGTTTATTGCATTAGCATCTGCCATCTGTTTGGATGGCTGTCTGTAAGATACCAGCCTCCGAAAGAGTAGCATCTCATTTAGCCTGTTGCTCTTGCTTTTCCAGGTTTTTAATGAGACAGAGAGAAATCACAGGTTGGGGCTAGTGAGTCATGCATAAAAGTGACGGTCAAGCTGGGGCTAAAAAAATCAGATGTAACCCTATTGGGAGTGCAAGTCTTCAGATGGTAGAATGCTGCTTCAATTCAAAAGAGCCATTTTACATCAGCTTAGGTCTGGTCCATTGACTTAGACACGATCTCAATATTTACTTTGAAGATCTCCCATGGCTTTTCTTCCCTCGGAAGCTGGATCTGACCACTGCAGCAAGGCCGTCACTTGACATGCATTTCAGGAATGGCAGGTTTATTGGCTGGGTGGTTTATATCCACTTGTGGATCCATTGCTGTTGCAGAGAGTAGGCATTGGGTATCTTGCCTCTCTGGACAGTCTCTGTGACGGCGGCTGAGGAGATAGCTCAGAAGAAGCATTGTTTGTTTTACTCCACGTTCTTCTGGAGAATGGTAAAGTGGAAAAATCAAAGGGATTCATCATGACCTACTATATAAACCTATTCAGTGAAGATCTGGCCCAGATCCTACGTGGCTGTAAATGGGCACAGCTCTATTGACTTCCATGGAGTGAAGTCATAAGAACGGCCAAACAGACCAAAGGTGCATCTAGCCCAGTATTCTTTCTTCCAATGATGGCCAACGCCAGATGATCCAGTGAGAGGAAACACAACAGGGAATCAGTGATCCCTCTCCTGTGATCCATTCCCTGCTTCTGACGAGCAGAGGCTAGGACACCATCCCGGCGAATAGCCCATGATGGACCCATCCCCCATGAATTTATCTAGGTCTTCTTTGAACCCTGTTAAGGTCCTGGCCTTCACAACATCAGTCAGTTTACACCATGGAAGGATCTGGCTCAAGATGCCATTCAAGTTGCATGAATATAAAGGAGGCTTGCTTAGGCCCATTGGGTCAGAATTTGACGAGAAGCCTGGTTGCGAACGCAGCTCAGCAGTAGTCAGGAACTTGCCATATCCTACTACTCATCCAGGCATTTTCTTCTTGGCAAGGTTGGAGGCGAAACAGCCGAGGGGGTGAGATACCATCACACTGGGCAGGGGTGTGCGCCTAGATCATAGCATGGAAGATAGTGGCAGAATTAGAGGGCTCTCAGAGAAGATCAGGGAGTGGGAGGTGCTAGTGTCTTGAGGAAAGCTGAAGAGAATAAAATAATGCATGCTGCAGCTTGGCGCTACAGGGACTCAAAAGAGGAGTGTATGCTCAGAAATGTTTGAAAGGTGTAAACCTTGAGTAGGGTATGGAATGATTATGGGTGATACCCAGTGGGATATGCCAGAAGCAATTGGATGAAATGGTGGCAGGGAAGATGAATATCCGGAGAATCTTTGTGACCTTCTACTTCTGTGAATGGAAGAAGGCAGGTTAGACTGGGGCATTTAACCAGCAAGGGGTGAGAGCAAGTGTGGAGACGTACATTTCCATTCTAATGTATCAGCTTTCGTGGGCACAGCCCACTTCTTCAGTGTGCCCACGAAAGCTCATAATCCCATTGAAGAAGTGGGTTGTGCCCACGAAAGCTCATGATCCCATCTCCATGTTTTGTTAGTCTATAAAGTGCCACCAGACCATTTGTTATTTTTTAAATTTATGTCTTGTTCTGTTTATCTGATGGTTTGCAGGCCGGAGACTGTCCTCTTTAGACAATGAGTTCAGCTATGATAACAGTAATTAATGCATGAATAAAGTGCAAAATAATTGTGCCAGGGTACATTTCACCATCATCCGTGATACCTTATGAAATGTAAATGCTGTTGAAGAGTGTGTGGGCTGTTGACTGGACTGGTATATGGGGCACTACTGATGGGAACTGCTGCTCTTTCTTAAGCTGTAGGCTGTTTTGGAACAAGTTTTACCAGCTGCCTTTTGGTGGTGCAATTCTGTTATGGTTATTTCTCAAAACATTTGTCAGAGCACTGGATTTAGGAGGGAAACATTCAGGAAGCGGGGAGTTAATAAATGCAAGTTCAGTATGTATATCTGGATGGGAGTGGATAACCTTCTTGTATATATAATAGGTAGAAGCGGGTAGCAGAAAGACGCAGACAGCCGTCCTGGATTGCGCTACAGGAATCTGCCAGGTCAGTGATTGGATGCACAGCACATCAGGAAGGGATTAGTTTAATTTTAGATTGGTTTTGTGAGTTGAGCCATAACTTGGGGTTCTAAGAAAATCTGGAAAGGTCACTTAAAATGCACGGTTTATTTTATAGGTTTGCTTTAAAAGAGATTTTGCCAAGAGCGTTGAAGAAGTCCATATATGTTTCCTATAACTGCACATTATGCACTTGTTTCTATGTGTGCATAGATGCTGCACTTATTCCGACATGTTTTGAACTCGTGTTAGCAGAGACTAATATCCGTTCTTCCCTGTTTCAGTCTTATCTACACTAGAACCACATTCTAAAATCATATCCAGGTCAGTTCCAACAGCGGGGGCAATATTGGGAGCTGTTGTGTAAGGCAGATAGTGGGGATTGCTGGAATACAACTAGACTTGTCTTGAGAAGAGCTGCATGGTAGCCCAGCAGCTGCCTGGAAACCTTTCTGCAACTGCCTTTGTTTCTCCCATGCTGCTGACACAAATCTTCCCCCCCACTCCCATTTTTAGATAATTCCTGAAACCAAAATCTCCGACTGAGATGGGGAAGATGTTGCTCTGGGCCGGTAAGTGAATCTGATCCCGTTGCAATGATACTTTGAGCATTATGGTGGGGAATCCTGGCCCAGAAATTGAAAGATCCAGATGAGATACAAACAGATTCTTTTCTAAAATTGCATTATGCAGGAGGTCAGACTAGATGTTCCAATGGCCCCGTCTGGTCTCAATAATATCTGAAACAGCAGCATCCCACATGGGCATGTTTTAGCACAGACTTTGCTCTAATGGATTTTGGCTACCTTATGCATAGTGAGTAAGATTCACCTGTGTGCAGAAGGCCTTTGCAGCACTTTGAGGGCACGAATGGGGCTTTACATGGTGCTGGCCCCTCTGTGCAGGAATGGATTTCACCCCAAAGGGGTGGGTCCAAAGTGTACAAAGTACCAGACTGACTTTTTTTCTAATGCCTTTTCATTTGGTTTGCAGGTGTGGCCATTCTTCTGCAGTTGCAGCTGGGTAAGAATGTCTCATTCCCTGTTTGGATGTCTGGGGACCAATAAAATAATGGGTCAAATCCCCAGGTCCCTGTTCAGTTTCTCCCCATTCCTAACACAGGCAAAACTGCTGCTGAAATCCACGAGCATTTGGCCAAGAATTCTGCATGAGAATTTTCTCTATGGCTGATATGAGTCTCCTCTCTCACTGGTGTAATTCCTTTGCCTTGGAAGGAGTTACTCCTGATTTACATTAGGGCAAGAGTAAGATCAGATTTGGACTTTGGGGTTGGCAAAAGATGAGGAAGTGTTATATGGTCTAGATGGGGCAGTGGAGTTTTAACATACCCCACCTGGAAGGAGCGTGTGTGATTTATGGCAACTGGAGATGTTTTCCATGCTGGAGTTGAGGCCATTTATACATGAACTATACATGATCTAATTGGGGGGTGCTGGAAGTACAAGTGCTGCCACATGCCTGCTTCAAGTAGTAAAAGCAACCCAAAATTATATAGTTTCCATCATCAGACCCCCCCACATATAACTAGTTCCAGCGCCCTGATTTAATATGACCGTAGAGTCATGCTGCCAGCCACACGCACCTGTAATAGGGACAGGAACAGGAGTCATTTTGTCTGGGCAGGAAACAAGTGTCTTTTCCATGTCAACTGTCCCATATGTAACACCGGCTCCTCTTATAGTTTGGTGCTTAGTTGCCAAGGAATGCTGAGCCCGATTTTTAAAGTATTTACGCCAGTGCCTAAAGCTGTAGAGAGGGATCTGCCTCTGGGGAGCTGGGTGCTGACAATAGGCACTTAAATAACTTTCATAATCTGCCTCCACCCAAGGTAGGGATTTGAAGTTTGCAGCCCTGAGACATCAGTGCTAATGCAGTATGCACTGGGGGCAAGGAAAATACAGCTCCCAAGCCACCAGATCGGGTCCATGGGAGCCTCTGCCAAGGTCCCACCCTGCGCTGAGAGGAGGTCTCTGAACACTAAGAGCTGGAGGGCGGAAGTTTAAGAGGCTTGGCAGCCCAGCCAATGGGAGCTGCCTGTTTGCAACACAAGCAGTATGGGAAGTCCCCCTCCCCTCTGCGAGCTCGCAGCATTCAGTCAGCCACACATGGCTTCTGTACCTAGTGCAGGGGCGTGGGAAGCAGGGACCCTGGCTGAGAAATCACCTGGGCTGCTGGCCGGGTGCTGCCCACGTAAGTGTTGCCCAGCCAAAGCCTGCCTCTGCCACCCCAGCCCCGCCCTTACCCCTTAACCTGCTGCAGCCCTAGCCCATGTAAACCAAAGCCTCTGCACCCTTACTCCACCCCCCCTACCGTCTTAGACCTTACACCCCTTTGTATGCCCCTCCTCCAGGTCACAAATCCCTCCCAAACCTTGTACCCCAACCCCCTACCCCTGGTCACAACCCAAATCCCTGCACCCATCTTGCATTTTTGGCACAGGTCACAGCCCCTTCCCGGACTCTGCACCCCCCTCTTACTCCCTTCCTCCAGGTCACAACGCCCTTCCCGATCCTGCATCCCCTCTTACATCCCAGCCCCCTGTCACAACCTCCTCTTTCACCAAAACTCCCTGCCAGCATCCCAATCCCTTACTTCAAGTTCTCTTCTGCACCCAGCCTCCATACCGGACCCCACACCTTCTCCATTAATATCATGGAGGAGTGTGTCCTTTGACTGCTTACCAAATTCTTGGAGTACCCCCCCTCCAATCAAAGATTATTGCCTGTCCCTGATAAACAGATGAGATTCTGGTTCACAAATTTCAACCAATTGATTGTGTAGCCGTGCCATCTTTGGGGTAGTTGTCAGCCCACAAGATCACTAGGTTGATCCCACTTATGATGTGTCACTAATGGACACTAGTGCCATCACATTTTATTTTTATTTTATGTTTTAACAGGCTCAGCGTACAAACGTGTGTGCTACTTTACTAACTGGTCTCAGTACAGGGCAGAACCAGCCAAGTTCACTCCAGAAAATGTGGACCCTTTCCTGTGTACCCATTTGATCTATGCTTTTGCTGGGTTGGAGAACAATAAGATCACCAAGGTCGAATGGAATGATGAAACCCTCTACCAACAGTTTAATGACCTGAAGCAGAAGTCAGTAACATCTAATGTGTAGAGGATTTTAGAAATGAGTTTATTTAAATGTGACCTATAAACGAATAATGTGGAGGCTTGTTCCCCTTTTTGCTTCCTTGTGCTTAAAGGTTTTTTTTTCTTGTTTATTTTTTATTCTTAGAAATAGTCAGGATGCCAAAATTGTGTATGTCCTTAGTTTTTAGTTTCAGTCACTTTTGGGTTACTCAAAAATGTGGTTTGGGAAATGGGTTTGTAAAGTCCTTTTTAAAGGGAGCATTTTGATAAACTCGCTGTTGGTAAAAACAAACCAAATCCAAAGTTTTTTCACAGTCTGAGTACAAATCACTTTCCCTGCCACTAAAAGTCTCCTCTGATATCTTTCATATTATAACCTTGCTAGTTCACCAGCTGTCCACAGAGTTCCCTAGGATAGACAGGGTCTCAATTTATAATTTAAACAGCAATCAGGACCCCAACATCCAAGAAGAAACAAACAAAACCAAGCAGAATATAAACCTTTTCCAAGAGTTTTGGTCTTTTTTCATGAGCAAGGAGCAAAACAGGAAGCAAACATGTTTTCATTATAATTCACTTGATAATTGTTGATGAAAATTCTGCCTAAGGTAAGTTTAGATTATCTTGGTTGCCGCCTCATACTGTGAAGCTGTAAACAGGCTTGCTCAGCAAAATTTAGAACTGGGTTTACAATGTGACCCTCACCAACACCAAAGAGATGTTAAAAAAAGGAGCTCCAGAAAGGAGCTTATTATCTTACTCAGATCCAGACTTCAATCCCCCCAAAATTTTGCAGGAGCTTTTTGAGTTTCAGGCCTTTGGTGCATCTAGAGATGGGTTTGAACAATGTTGAATCTGACAATCCAAATAATTTTAATTCCAGTGTCATGAGCCAAAGGCTAATGGCAAGGTTCTGACCTCAGAGAGGTGTAAATCTAGAGAAGGTGGTGTGAATAAGGAGATTGTTTACAAACCGACAACCATTTAAAAAAAAAAAATCTGTTATTTTCATCTTTATATATTTTGGTCATTTAATCTCATACTCCTGAACTTTTTTCTGCTTTCTAGAAATGAGAACCTTGTCACACTCTTGGCTGTTGGAGGTGGAACCTTTGATACCCAAAAGTAAGAACTTTTCCCTTTTCTTTTTAAATAGTGGTGGTGATGGCAAGGCAGAGGACTCTCAGTTAGGGGCAAGACAGTGAGATTCCCCACCCTGATTTAGATGGTAAGCTCTTTGGAGCAATGCCGGACTTTAATTTGTGTTTATACAGTGCCCAATGCAAAATTTTCAGTAGCCATTTGGTACCCTGGGAGCAGCTGGGCAGCCGCTACTCCAGCTCTGGCACACAGGGCAGCCGCCCACTACGCGGCCCTGTCCCAGGAGTAGCTTGTCTGCTGCTGCGCAGCTCAGCTAACGAGGTGGGTGGGCTTAATTTCTTACTGCACACTTGCGCAAGCACGCACCCTAGAGGGAACTATGACCATGAGCCTCTAGCATAATGAGGGGCAACCTAGGCTAATGATGGGGCTTCAGGAGTGGCCCTCCTTCATCTTTGTGGGCCACAAGATTGTTGTAAGCAAGATGATCTCCCAGCAGAAAACCAGCAGAATCCGGTTCACTCTCTCCAAACCAGTCACAGTTTTATAAACCTCTGTCATATTTTCTCTTGGTTGCCTCTTTTCTAAGATGAACAGTCCCGGGCTTGTTAATCTCGCCTCATCCAGGCACTGTTGCATGCCCCTCATCAGTTTTGTTTCCTTTCTCTGGACCTTTTCCAATTCTAATGCAGCTTTTTAAAGATGGGGCATCCAGAACTGCACGCGGTATCCAAGATGTAGTATACCGTATGTACTAACATTCTGCTGAGAAAAATCAAATCTTTCCAATCCCGAATAGAGCCCAGAGGGGGGTGAAGAACCTTTTTTGGGTTGGAGGCCACTGACCCAGGGAAAAATCAGTCGGGGGCTGCACAATAGTCAGACGCAAAACAAACAAACCCCACATTCTCCTCATGCACCAGAACCTTGGAGGGCCTGGGATAGTAGATTTTGTGGCCCTCTCAGGGCTGTATGGTGGGGCCAAAAATGAGGCATTCAGTGTGTGGGAGGGGGCTGCTGGGAAGCAGGCTTGGGGTGTGGGAGGGTGCAAGAGTAGACTGGGATCGGTGGGTCTGGGGAGATGGTAGGGTGCAGGAGGAGGCTGCGTGGGAGGTAGGGTGCAGGAGAGGAGTAAGAGTGTGGAGGCTGGGTGGGAGTGGGGGTGCAACATCTGGGCAATGGGGGAGGGGTGCTTATCTACACAGCTTCTTGGGGACATAGGGCTGGCGTGCCAGAGCTGGCTCCCCAATGCTGGGGGTGGGGGAGAGAAATCCCTGAGCTTTGGGGCCAGATCTAGGGAAGCCAGGGGCCCCGGGCCATAGGTTCCCCACCCAATCTAAAGCCTATCCAATTCAATAGACGCTCGCTAACTGTGCTGTGGGTTGAATCCTACAAGATGCGGAGTCCTTTGCTCCTATCCAGCAAAGCACCTAAGCATGTGCTTAACTTGCAGTGTGTGAGCAGTGCAACTGACTTCACAGGGACTACTGTATTCAAGCTGGGCTTTGCTGGGCTGGGGCGTGGGGTCTCTCAGCACATGATAGAGTAGCTTTATGTTTAGACTTCCTTGGTTTTGATAGTAACCAACAGGTAGAGGATGGAAAGAGGAGGGTAATGTTGCAATGATGCAGAAGGGGAAGAGATAAAGGGAGAAGATTTAGGGAAGAGAAATCTGGTTACAAAAGCAATAATAAAAAGCATGACGCCATCAGCAGAGAGAGATGGCTGTCGAAATAATAGATAGTCTGACGGGAACTATGGACCAGACCTTCAGCATAATACCATTGAAGTCAGTGAAGCGACTTTGATTTACCCCAGTTCAGGATCTGTCTGTTTGGAAAGACTGGAGGACCGCAGGTGGGTGGGACTAATAATGCACTTGTCAGACAAATGTTATTTCTTCCAGATTTACTGACATGGTTTCTTCATCTGAAAATCGAAAAACATTCATCAGTTCAGTGATTGAGTTTCTCCGCACGCATAATTTTGATGGACTAGACCTCGATTGGGAGTATCCCGGTTCCAACGGAAGCCCCCCAGAGGATAAGCATCGCTTCACCCTTTTGGTTCAGGTAGAGAAGTACTGTTCACAGTCTGATCCCAAACTCCTCCAAGTCACCGAAACATTTGACTAATCCCTGACGTGGAGCTTTGTAACTTGTCGGTTGTGCCTGAAAAGTGCTTGTTTTGACACTGGATAAAGGGTGATCACAGATGTTGGGAATATTCAGATTAGTTGCAGATATTTAAAAAAAAAATGTAAAGGCCTTAATTTCCATGTAATTGTTCTTTATCTCATTTTCACATGACAGTGGTTGCCCTTTGTTTTATACTTGTAGGAAATGGTCGCAGCTTTTACTGAAGAAGGAGAAAGTACCGGTCGTGCAAGGTTGTTGGTTTCAGCAGCTGTGTCAGCCAGTAAAGAAACCATAGATGCTGGATATGAAGTGGCTGAACTGGGGGAGTAAGTCAGATGATTTCTGCCAGGGGGTTAAAATGTTACAATTTCCTGCTAGCAAAAGCATAAGAAAAAGGCTTTGCATTGTTGGGTCTAGTGGCTTTATTTTAGATTTATTGACACAGTTCCAGTAGATGCCATTAGGTAATGATCCTGAAGATTTGTCTGCCTTGCTCTTCTTTCCTATGCCCATTAAAGAATAATCCAATGAAATCAATCCCAGAGCTAATTTGGATCCTAGTCCGGTTTTAGCCAAACCACCAAAGTTTGGGAGCTTTGGATAAAAAACTCCAGTTTAGGTCCTCACTATGGCTGTGTCCAGACTCAGGGGTTTTTTCGAAAAAAGTAGCCTTTTTTCGAAAAAACCTCACCTGCGTCTAGACTGCAGCCGCGTTCTTTCGAAATTAAATCGAAAGAACGCGGCTTTTCTTTCGATGGCGGTAAACCTCAATTTACGAGGAAGAACGCCTTCTTTCGAAAGTTCCTCTTTCGAAAGAAGGCATTCTTGAATGTAAATAGGGCTTCTTCGAAAGAGAGCATCCAGACTCACTGGATGCTTTCTTTCGAAAAAGCAAGCCGCTTTTTCGAAAGTTCAACGTGCAGTCTAGACGCTCTCTTTCGAAAGAGGCTTACAGTCTAGACATAGCCTATATGAAATGTAATAATCGAGTATCAAGGAGGCCAATAGAATTGCCAGGCCTCTGGGCAAGGTGCGGGGGGAGGGCAGCTCCGTGCTACCTGAAGAGGCGGGGCTTTGGATGGAGAGGGCGAGGCTTGGGGCTAGTTTCCCTGTCCCCCTCGCCAATGTTTGAGCACCAGCTGGGACTCCAGCAGTGATTTAAAGGGCCCAGGACTCTGGCCATCGCTGCTGCCACAGTCGTGTTGACTGGGAGCCCTGGGCCCTTTTGAATCATCGGTCCCTGGAACGGTTACCCCCTTTGCTCTCTCCTTCCCCTCCCCGCATCGTCAGGCATGTCCAGTATCTAATGATGATCCTGAAAGACTTGCCATCTTTAGAGCAATCTAACATGTCTTGTGCTTCTTTGGTCTGGGTGTTCTTAGACCCTTCAAAGTTAAGAAGTCTTAGTCTTTTAGGTTGCATTTATACTACACCATTATTTTGTGATAACTAGCATTCTTTCAAAATAACAATGAGAGCGTCTACACAGCCATTCCATTATTTCAAAATAATTTCAAAATAATGGACGGGTTATTCCAAAATCTGTAAACCTCATTCTACGAGGAATAATGCTTCTTCCGAAATAGCTATTTTGAAATAAGGCGTGTGTAGACGCTCCACTGCTGCTATTTCAAAATAGCCCCTCACCAGGGCCATTCTAAGTTATTCTTCCCCAGTGCCTCTTGGGGCTCTAAATTGAGATAGCACGTCACATTAGGGAAGCCTGCCTCAGACTAATTGTGAGGCTTCTCTGTAGTACAGATGTGTTATTTCAAAATAAGCTATTTCGGAATAACTATTCCAGAATAGTTTATTTTGAAATAAGCGTGCAGTGTAGATGTACCTTTAGGAAATGGATTCATTAGGGTTACCATACGTCTGGTTTTTCCTGGACATGTCCTCCTTTTTGATCCTTAAATTTCTGTCCATCCAGGTTTTTTAAATATATTAAAATGTCTGGGATTTTGCCCAGCTCATTCAGTGCCAGGCTGGATGCTTCCCCACTCCGCTGAGTCCATCCCCATCCAGGCTTGCTCCCTAACCCCGCCTGCAGTTTTCCTGAAGGACGTTTGGCCTTTCCGCGGCCCATAGACTCAACAGCACTTCCTTAGCAGTGGGTGGGAGGGGTTGCTGTAAGTGAGCAGCCGCGGGCCCGGTAAGGACGGCGGTGCTCAGCCGGCAGGGGCTGGACAGGGTGGGGGCTGTGTGCGACTCATCACTTAGTGATGGGCTGAACCCCGCTCCTCTGGCCTCGGAGCCTCCAAATGCCACATGGGGAAGAGCTCTGGGCTCCCAGCAGTGCCTCAGAGACCCATCCCCCAACCCCTGTAGACTTGATCCCTGCGGCCCCCAGAGCCCTGTAAATACCCCCATGGATCCAAATCCTGTAGAGCCTCTTTACACACCCCTAGCACTGGACGCCTGTCCCGCCATCCAGCACCCCCTGGGGCTTGAACTGCTGGAGCTGTGCAAACATCCACATCGTCCAAACCCCACATTTCTCCTGAGCCCTGCATATGCCCCCATTGACATGCACCCCGCCAAGCTCTAAAATGCCTCTCTAGCTCTGTAACCCTGCATCCCCTTCCAGAGTCAGGGTGGGTTACCAGAGGTGGGTGGCCCAGTGTGGATTAGCAGGGGTGGGAGGCCCAAGGCAGGTTACCAGGGGCGGGGAGCCCAGGGCGAGTTACCGGGGCAGAGGTAAGTAGTACACAGTATATTTTATACAGGTAACCTCTGACTTATGACCGCCAGACTTATGACCCCCCGCATTTACTCATGTTGTATATTCACTGTTACTCATTGTATATGTTGTGTATATAGTATATAGAACACATGACTACAACGTGAGTTGGTAGGTACTGGTATGGATACACTCCCTCTCAGGAGTGTCCTCCTTTTTGAAAGTTCAAATATGGTAATCCTAGGATTCCTTACTGTATCATTTATTTTGCTTGTCTTTAGGAGTCTTGATTTTATCAATGTGATGACCTATGACTTCCATGGAAGTTGGGCCTCTGAAACGGGACACAACAGCCCCTTGTACAAGGGCTTGGATGAGTACGACAGTAATCCCTTCCTCAACTGTGTAAGAAAACAAGTAATAATACAGGGCTAGATCCAGGGACTATTGAAGTCAATAGGAATGTTTCCATTAACTTCAGTGGATCAGGCCCAGGGTCTGCTGTTTGTCTGGGGTAAAAGTCATGTCAACATGAAGGGTTTTCTCTCTACAGAAATATGCTATGCAATACTGGCAGGAAAATGGTGCCCCAGCTGAGAAACTCCTGATGGGATTCCCAACATATGGACGAACTTTCAAGCTTTCTACTACAAATACTGGGGTTGGTGCTCCGGCTTCTGGGGGTGGGTCTCCTGGGCCCCACACCAAGGAATCTGGCATCTTGGCTTACTATGAGGTAAGCATCTCAAGCAAGTTATATCTCTTCCAGTTCTTCCATAGTGCCCATTACTGTAGTGTCTGAGCACCTATCTTTAATGGGTTTTTCCTCTGAACCATCCTGTGAGGCAGGGTAGGGTTGTTATCCCTGTTTTACAGAGACATTTGCCAAAGGCCATACAGGGGAATTTGTGGTAGAGCAGGGATTTGAACCTGTGTCCTAAGCCAGTGCGCGAACTACTGTACCATCATTCTTCCTTCCAAGATTTACAGATCAAACTTGCTTTTTGACTGGTTTCTGTTTTTCTTGTATGTGGCATGCATTTGTTGTAATGGACAGAACTCAAGATTGCTTAAGTCATCTCTTCCCTCAAACCTTTGTGTATCTTGTTTAAACTAGAATATATCCTCCTAAATACAGGCAGTCCCCGGGTTACGTACAAGATAGGGACAGTAGGTTTGTACTTAAGTTGAATTTGTACTTAAGTCGGAACTGGCGTCCAGATTCAGCCGCTGCTGAAACTGACCAGCGGCTGACTACAGGAAGCCCGAGGCAGAGTTTCTCTGCCCCGGGCTTCCTGGAATCAGCTGCTGATCAGTTTCAACAGCAGCTGAATCTGG